AGATTAGTGGCTAGAGGGTTCAGCCAAGTTTTAGGTAAAGATTACAACGAAACCTTCGCCCCCACTGTTCGACTCGATACTCTTCGCCTTTTCCTTGCAATTGTTGCAAGAGAGGACCTCGAGTGTTCCCATTTCGATATCAAAAATGCGTTCACCGAATCACACTTGAAAGAAGAAATCTATTTAGCACCCCCTCAAGGTGTTCATGTTCGTCGCGGCCGCGTTCTACATGCACTTCGGAGTCTTTATGGGCTAAAGCAAGCTGGTAGAGATTGGAGCCTTCTTCTGAAAGGAGAGTTAACCAAGATGGGTTTCGTACAAAGCCTTGCGGATCCGTGTTTATACACCAATCACCCGCGCCAGCTAATTCTCCTAGTGTATGTAGATGATATTGTTACTGCTGCTGCACAAAAACGAGATATTCAATGGTTTTATCACAACCTTTCTGCTCGATTCAACACCAAAGACCTGGGGGAGATTAGTAAGATCTTAGGAGTGCGCATCATTCGTAACAGATCAGAGAGAGTGTTAACTATGGATCAAGAAGAGTATCTGGATGCAATGCTTACCCGATTCGGGATCTCCCATGGTCAACACACTCCAAGGAAGATACCAATCTCGGATTACAACCAACTACGACCAACGCTCCCAGACGACGAGCTCACTGATGTAAACGAATACCAGCAAGCAATCGGCAGTACGATCCACCCTATGGTTTACACTAGACCGGACATCGCATTCGGTCTCGGGAGATTAGCACAAGCTATGTCTAACCCTGCCAAACATCACAGCGTTGCACTCAAAAACCTTATGAGATATTTGAGGTCAACTATTAAACAGAAACTACGTTTTGGGCCTGGGGGAGTTCAATCAGATATTTGCAAAGAATATGACCTCCTACAACGCACCATCAAAGTATACACCGACGCAGACTGGGCAAGCGATAGAACCGATCGAAAAAGCATCTCTGGTGGGGTAGTAATGTTCTATGGTGGACCAATCTCATGGGCAAGCAAGAAGCAGACATCTGTAGCTACATCTAGTACAGAAGCTGAGTACATTTCCATGGCGATGTTCACCAAACAAGGGCAATGGGTAGCCCAACTCTTGAGGGACTTAGAGCGACCACAGTATATCGGGAGCAACAGCGGAGTTCAAATGCTCGGAGACAACCAAGGAGCGCTAGCGTTAACCAAGAACCCACATCTACACGAGCGATCAAAGCATATTGACATATGTCACCACTTCATTCGAGATCTCACAGAAAAACATCTAGTCAATACCAGCTATGTCAATACCAGCTATGTCAATACAAGTGATATGGCTGCAGATGGATTAACAAAACCATGCGCAAGGGTGATATTTGAGAGATTCAAGAACATGCTGGGGTTTCAAAGAGAGTAAGCTCTTTGGGAGAGTATTGGAAGTTGTGGTATGTGCTCCAAAATCGACTAAATCGACCAAATTGACCAAATCGACCAAAATCACTGAATCCACCCATTTCACCTATTTCATCAGATTCATTGGATTCATCTTACGTCGAATTTATCAAAAAAAAAAAAAAAAAAAAAAAAAAAAAAAAAAAAAATTAATGATTTCAAGAAAATCACGTGGAATAACAGATAAGCTTAAGGTCTGTTCGCATACGATCGGATTTTGATGGTCTACCATATTAAAACAGTAACCCTACGATCAAGGAATAACGAATTTCGAAGCAATCAGTTATTGGGCGTATAAAAGGAATTTTAAAGAAACTAACTACTGAAGCTGAGAGAGTAAGCTCTCTGGGGGAGTGTTGGAAGTTGTGGCACGTGCTCTAAGCTACTGTGCATATATCACTTCCACTTCGTAGTTAGATTTTACCTTAGTACAATTAATCTACATAGTCAATAATACATGCATTCCACTGGCCTGCTCCTTTATTGTGAACAGTAAGTATATATAAAGTATTAGATGAGATAATCTTGAACCAAGATAAGCTCTTTACCTTGAGATTCTAAACTATCTTATTAATATTTATAAATGTTAAGAAAAAGTTATCGACAATTTTTTACTTATAAATAGATAATCAAACAAAAAGAATTAATTAAATAATAAAAGTATATCTTAAATGCTATATAAATTATTGATAAGATAATTGGGTAGAACTATTACCTATGACACAATTCGTATATAATACATCGAAAACGAAAACCATAAAAATCACTTTAGTACAAACTAATTTTAAGTTTAATCTATAAGTATATAAAATTCCAATATTATAAAAAGTTAATGTCAAATTAACAATAATATAAGTCAAATAGTTGAAAGATCTTCAAAAATAATTGACTTTTAATTTAAGATTCATATTTTCCAGAACAATAATGTACTATAATATAAAACGTAGTATGAAATCTATATTTAAAAAGAGAAATAAAGTTTATCTATTACAACAAAATATTGAAATCAAAAGATTAAATAATAAACTCGATTACAGAAAACTAGGATTATTCAAGATTAATAAGATAATAGAAACAATTAATTATCAATTGAAGTTATTAGATACAATAAATATCCACCCAATATTCCATATATCCTTACTCGAATTAGCACCATTAAGAATATTAAATATATTATTTACAGAAATTGAATCAGTTAATTTAAATGTTATATACAATATTGAAACAATACTAGATTACAAATATATCAGAAACAAGATTAAATATTTAATCAAATGATTAAATTATTCATATTCAAAAAACATATAGGAATTTAAGAAAGATCTCAACTACCCTAAAAAACTACAGGCATTCTATCTGAAGTACCCACATCTGCTAATAAAGCCTCAAACTCCGCCTCAAACAATAAAGACAATAAAGGGTTGAAGAAGCCAAAAAAAGAAGAATTATTAGGAGTAGGCCTAGCATCAACATTTGCTGTTTCCTTTTCTATACACTCCATTTCAATCTTCTCCTTTTTTAATTTCTCCTTCTCCTCCACCTCCTCTAATTCATTTATAATCTTCAAACCACAACAAATCAGCTTGTTATCTCGAGCCTGAAGAAATTTATATTATTTTTGTAAATGTGTAAGCCGAGTAGCAGTAACCACCATTAGAGAAGCAGCCTTCTCTTCTTTTTCATCTAATCTCTTCTGCTCCTATATCAGACTACAAAAATCGGCAATAAAAGAACTAGAAACATTATATTTCGTATTTCGATGAACATATTTATTATACTAAAACGAATTTTTTTTAAGAACAATACAAATACGAGAGTTCGTTTTATAATAAATACAAAATAGTATAATATCACCTTGAATCTTAATCAATAAAGTAAGTTTAAAAACATTTTTTATATTTTCTTAATCAAATAAGTAGTATAATGAAGGAAGTGTTTATTAGGACTATATTGTGAAAATGATTATTGATAAAGAAATACTTGGGATAAGTATTAAGCTAAAAAGGGGATAGTGTTATGATGATATCCAATATATTGTGTTATATGGCCAAACGATTATGTGATGGACCTAAAGGATCTAGGGGATTGAAGAATAAATATCTAGATTTATAAGATCTAAAGGATTCAAGTAGAACAAAGCCTTATAATTCTGTAGAGAATGAAGGTTTATATAAGGAATAGGGTTTCTTTATATATAGAGCTTTATGCTTAAGAATAATTATTAGTTTTATTACTATAGTTATAAGAATTGTAATTAGTTATAACCTTATTGAATTTCTATTTGAAGTTTAGTTTAAATCATTTCGAGAGATCTCTAGACACTTCCACGTGACTCTAGAGGCAGCTCCCGTAACATTTATAATATACTTGAAAAGCTACTAATTTATAACTTTCATACTCATTTAATATTAATATTCAATATTTATCCTTTTTTCGATTCTTAATATACTTATTGAAGTATTTCAATTATTCTAAACCCATCTCATTATTTATTCATTCATTAGACATAGATTTAATAGCTTATTCCATAGAAAGATTTATTTCAATATACTAATTAAAGAGATAAACTTATTCTTAAACTACTAAAAATGAGGGAATAGTTTCACCCTTTTTATTTCCATATATTATTGCTGTAGCTCATTCTTAATTATTTAACTATACTAATTTGCTTTTATTACATCTCTTAATACTAATAATAATCATTACTATATATAGAAATCTTTATTCAAAATACTTTATTTCGTTTATATGTTTACAATTAATCGAAACCATTCTTTAATAAATTTAAAATCCTTATAAAAAACTCTTTAAAAATTATAAACATAATTAAAAAATATTTTTAATTCGATTCAATAATAACTTTACAAATCAATACATTTAAAGCTTTTCAACATTCTTTACATCCTTCAATTCAAAAATATAATTTATTATATTTTTCATATTCTTAAGTTTAAATAAAAAACCTTTCGAATCTATATCAAGTATATATTTAATAATAATATTCTTTTCTAATTCTAAAAGATTATAAGATTTATATTAATATTCTGTATAAGGAATAAAACTATTAATTTTATATTATAATATTATATATAAAATATTATATATATTAATAATCTTTTAAATACTTTATTTTCTATCTTTCTAAATAATTTCAATAGTAAGAAATATACGGACTTCTTGATTATTCGAATTTATAATGAATTATTAATAAAACATATATTGAAAAAGAAAGGTATAAATTGAAATGAAAATGGGCTATATACTAATATAGGTTATATACTGATAAACTACATTACTTAAAATAAGGTGGTTAAAGGTTTTTATACCTGATTTTCAAGTTCTACGACTTTCGGGTTCGGATCCGAAATAGTTTTCGATTTAGACGCGTGCATATATGACTGAATTCCTAGTCATAACCTAGTCATGACTGACATGCTTTAAACGTGCAGACTCAAGGAAAGTTGCACTTGTGGCGTTATGAAGAAACCTGGGATGTCATTGTTCGCATAGCATATATAGATAGTAAGCCATAGCTCGCTCATCCTTTCTTCCCAAGACTAAATGTGTTTCAGATCCAACGACTCAATCGGATTTCACTTCCCAGATTGTACAAACAATCTCCGAACTTGATGCGGGACATCATTGTTACACTACGCCAGATTCTCCATCCGATGTTGAAGCTGGCACAAACGCAACAATCCAGCTTGAATACACTTCAACATATGATGGAAGTGGGAACGAAACATTTTATGCTTGTGCAGATGTTGTAAGAAGCCATAAGAAGCCCAACTACAAACGACTGAGCACATCGTTCCGGTGGACTGATCATAGTATACATTTAGACTTTCGTAGAAGAGAGTGATTTCACCACAAGCGTCTCTTGCTTCAACGCTACTGTCACCGGTCCTTCTACTGAGGGCATAGCGAGCTCTGTCGCAACATCATCTGCAACCTCTACATCAACGGGATCCTTGACAGTTTCATTGTCTACCACCTCAGATTCATCATCATCGAGTTCCAGCGGGCTATCTAAATCAGCCGCTGCTGGTGTCACAGTCGGTTGTATTGCGGGTGGTCTCGCTTTGGTTGGATTTGCAGTATTCTTGTTGATGAAGAAATACTCGTATAAGCCTCGATTTAGAGGAAGAGAACACGTCGGAAGCGTTAGATTGAGTACGATTGAGTACGATTGATGATAAAATCGCACTCCAGAAAAGCTCGGTATAGAAGCTAGGCAGAGGAGATGAACACCATACTCTTGATTGGGGAAGTAAACTGGATAATACGGCAGGAACAGTGGATGTCATGATGAACGTTAAAAAGAACATCTGAACATGAGGAATAAATGATGATATTACCAATATTAAGATACCAGATAAGTGAGTGCGGTATGTCAAGGCGTTCTCTGGGACAATAGTGACAGTTGGCCAGCTTCTAGCGTTTGTACCGAGTTGGAATTTTAAAAACATGTAGTATGTATCTGTTTGCATATGTCCATCTTATAGAAATATACTAATATCGAATATTCTTTCGAAGGCAATGAGGATGTTCTTTCTAGGAAATCTGCATATCCACGGTCGATACTGGCTGCTTAAGCTGATGACTTAACGGGAGATACCACAATCAGAAGATTGAATCAAGATTGCTGCCTGAAAAGAAGAGCAATATCCATTTCGTATCTACGTAAAGGTGAAGTAAATAGTAGAGTAGAATCTGAATGACATGATTCATCCAAGAAGTGTGTTTGAAAGTGTTCTGATGTTATGTCTTCTATCACGGATAGTATACATAACCATTGCCATAATCATCATTTGTGAAGCCCACCAGAGAACTTCATACTCCTTGCATATAATAACCTGACATCTCTAATCTTAATACCAGTTGCCCAACTGTGTTCTCTTCTGCTAGATCCGCGGCGTCAAACAAACCTCCGCTTCCTGCTTGGGCATGGAACGTCTTCTCGCCGTACCCTTTCTTTTCAGTCAATCCCCTACAAACAGTGACAAATACTCCTACTCTCTTTTTGAATTTTTCGTACATTATATGGATATTCTCATCTTCGACTACATTGCCAGTATTTGCCTTTGCTCCCGAAGCCTTCTCTCTTGAATGCTTCGAGAACCGTAGGATCAGGCCGAATATTTCTTCTAGTAGTTGCATGACTGGCTTCTGTCTTTTCCTTAAGAACAATGCAAATAGCATCTTATCGAGCACACGTTCATGGTACTCTCTGAGACTCTCCAGCCCCTCGTTTTGACCGAGCGAAAAATTATCAGAGTCCATGCGTTCTTCAATTTCATCCAACTTTCTCTGAAAAACACCCCATGTTGTTGCGATTCCAGTATCGAAAAAATATCCACAGACCGCAGAAACGAAATGATGAGCCTCTATACGGAATTTCTGAGCAGAGGGATGGATGTTATGCCACGAGGATGTCCTATCCGTGGCATCACGGAAAATTGCTGACACAACATATAGCATTCTGAGAGTACGGAGTAGTTGTTTGAAAAGCTGGTCATACTTGTAGAGGATAATGGGGGTTAGAATTGATTCCAACGGCGCAGGAGGTTTGTATGAAAGCCGTAGGAAATCTAGGGCCTCGATTGAATTAGGGTCCATACACCGTTTGATTTCTTCTTCGGACATATCTCGAACAGCAAAACTCAGATCCCCTGGAAGAGATTTTTGTCTTTGACGATAGCTATCAATGGAAGAGATATGCGCAGGCTGATAAGATGCATGACTTTCAGTGAGAACGCCCATTAATGCAAGTCGTAATTCAGAGCTCGCTGGTGGCCATGTGTCTCTACCGCCAAGTCGTAAGCCCATAGTTCCACCAGATAAAGCCACTCCTTTTTGTCTCTCGGCACTTTCTAAGTCAGGATCAAATAGTGCATGGGAGAGTCGGCTTGAAAAAACACCGTTTCCCAACAGATGAAAGTCTCTTTGAAGAGATAGATGATCTCGTAACTTATGAGACTTAAAGAATAATTGCATGCAAACACTATTGACCACTCTAGCTTGTGCAGATATAATTGGATTAAATGAGAGTATAGGGGCCAGCGAAATGGGCGGGGAAAATATTGATTCATCCACTCGTGAAGGCTCTGGAGCCGACGAGAGACAGTCCTGTAAAAGACGTTTAAACTTAACAGGAGTTGATGGCTCCTTTAATTTTGAGTCCAGTCGATTAATGGAAGCTACAACACGAGTTTGAATCTCTTCTTTGGGTCGGCCGAAGAAATCCAGATCAAAATTGTAAAGCTCATACCTGGACTCGTTCGCTGTGGGTTCCGTCGTTGAATGATTTCCCGAGAATTTCCGGAGTGCGGCTGTTAAATCCCGTTCGTATTTCAAGGCTTTAGTCTCTACATCCAGTATATCCTGCCAAGAATACCTCCACTCAAGAGCTGGTGGTGCAACTGACTCCACAACCTCCATTTTCGACAAAGGATGGTCTATATGGTGAGTCCGTAAAATTCGAAGGCTCTTACCCACTTCAAACATTATTTGGGCATCTTCAAGTGGCATGAAGGAAGGAACATTTTCAAGGTCCAATATAAAGTCAGGTTCATTCAGTTCGAGACCAGCTTCATCCACCCATTCTTTGTTGTCGACCTTCACAAAGCTCTTCCCAGAACCATCCTTGGTTAGCGGTACGCCACCTTCTCTTTGTAATCCAAGCCATTCACCTGTAAATTCAAGCCAAGGCACTGATACCCTCGAAAGTATTTCAAGAAGAATATCTCGGAGAGAGTCTGTCCTATGTTCTAGAAGTTGGATCTCTTCAAAAAGCGTTGACAGTATTGCTTCATCACTTTTCTTTGGCAATGTCTTTGTCACCAATCGTTTGAAACATGTGAGAACTGAGTGAACAGGGTGAAACAATGCTTGCAGCTGTAATATGCTCTCATAATCAGAAGCGCTTACATTCAGCTGTGACTGGATGGTTGCAAGAACAGTTGAAATAGACTCTGCCATGGCGATTCGACCTGGTGACTTGTTTGTTGAATAGGTCTTTTCGACAAAGTCTTGAAGAAATCTGGTAGTATTCCCGCACTCGTAAAAAGGAGCCAGAAAACAGGTCAGAGATTGTGCAGTGTGACCAGAGACCCGGAACTTCTGAAGGGTCGCAAAAAATGAACGCTTCTCTACGTCCCACGCAAAGAACATCGAATTTCTACCTAGTCCTAGTGCGAGGACCGAGGTAGCGAATATTTTCGAGTCCACTACATGATGAAGATTATTTCCAGCATTAAAAAAACCGTCTTCGGCAGCTAATGCGGTATCAAACACTCGAGCTCCAGCTTCGGTCAAATAAGCCGTTTGAGGTTCATTAAATTGCTCGATAGTAAAAGAATCCCATGTTTGATAGTTCACAGGCTCCTGTAAAGGCTCTTGCTCCTGTACCATCCAAATATCAAAGTCTTCAGCTTCCTCGGACCCCACTGGTTCATTGCAAAATGTGTCGCCAAGAGGTTCGCCAGATTGAGATGGAGGAACAATTGGCTCTACTGGGCCTATGGGTAGTTTTGGTATACCGAAAAACAATTCATCATGTTGACATTGCTCTGCAACGTCTGGTAATTGAAAGTCAATGACTGTAAATCATTAGCACAGTATATTTGTTTACTTCACACAAATAGTTGGAACGAACCAGGGAGTCTAAGATCTGAGAAAAGACTATTTGGTTGTACTACATCATCAACACATCTAGATAGACCCCAAAGGTCTGGTATAGCAAACACATTTCCTGGATCTCTTTCGTCATCCATTTTCATCATCTCAACTAAGATCTGAATGTACTGTGCTCACAGGCGGGGGTTGTGGATGTTTGACGCGCTCCAACGCGTCTGCGGTTTAGGCGGACGTTAAGTCCGCTAGCGTAGTTATTGCAAAAGGCTGATGGTGAGGCTGAGCTTGGTTGCAATTTGATGTTTCCCTCCAATTCAATATTTGGTAGTAAAAGTAATACCGCCCAAATGCCACCGAAAAAGAAGAAAGGAAGCACACGAGCTGCTTCGACGCCCGTTGAAGACCAAGATGCCATGGCAATTGATACTCCCAAAAAGGCCGAACCACCAAAACCAAGCTACAATATCTTGAAAGACCCATGGACGGACGAACAAGAAACCTCATTGTTCAAAGGTATTGTCAAATGGAAACCAGCGGGTAGGTCGATAATCAGTCTTCAGTATATGGTTTAGCAAATCAGACGAATTAATCATTGAGATCAGGCATGCATAAACACTTTCGCATGATTGCACTTTCAGAACATCTACGGAATCACGGCTATGATCCTCGTGTTGAACAACATACTCGGATCCCTGGTATATGGGAGAAGTTGCGAACATGTTACAATTTGGATGTGATCGATGATCGCGAAAATTCATTCGATTACGAAGAGGATACCGAAGACCGGTTTCCCGAGTTCACGTTGCCCGACGAGGAGTATGGAGAGATGTGCTTCATGCGAGGGAAGCGAACTAATGAAGAAATAAGTGAAGCCCCTTCGTCACCTTCAAGATTGATGGAAACTTCAGAACCAAAGGAGTCACCAGAGCCCGAGGTTCATGGAACCACCAGAAAAAGGAAGAGGGGGAAAGAGAGAGCAAGTACTGTTGACACAACAGAGACGAGAACATCACCACCTGCACAAAGTTCGCCACCAAAATCTACCAGAGCGGGAAGGAGTGCCAATAGAGCTGCAGGAAAGGCGAAAGCAGAATCGGGTTCGAGGCAGCAGAGTGTTGCAACGGTCACAACCGTGGAAGATGGAGCTGAAGACGACGAAGAAATCGATGAAGGCCTCGAGGGAACACCGACGAGACCTAGAGGGGCGGATACGAAGAGATCTAGGGCACAATCTTCCAATAGAAAAAGTAAAAGAAAGAGATAATGGATGCGTATTTGTGTATATTTGTATTGTACTAAGACATGATTATGAGGAGCGAGGCGTTCTTTGGTGGTTGTTTATACCTGTACATAGCGGTTCTTGTATTATATGGCGTATGGCTTTCATGGCAGGAGATGGAGATCAAACTGGATGTTTTAGTAGCACTTTTACCAGAAAAATTACTTGTGTGAAGAAGTACTACCCTGTTAAAAGTGGCTGTTCTTGTACTGTAGAACAAAAAGCGGAAACATACCAAAGAGCTTCTGCTCGGTTCAAGGGAGATGCAATTACGAAAAGAAGCATATATGTGAACTGTTTCTATAGTTTATATCACAACTTGATCTATTGCACAGCCACAAGTTTCATTGGTTTTGTCTGCCCACTGTTGAGCCATCTTCAAAGCCACTCACCAATAGAACTTCACCAATTTCTAAAAACCTTAAAACCACGGCATGAATTCGCTGCCAAGACTTACCGAAGCTCCAAAGCTCAGGATTTCCAAACGTCACTATTTATCTCAAGATAACGACTGTTAACAAATTTAATATACCCATTGAAGTTGCCCAATATGCGCCGCACATTACGGCAATTTGCAGCTGTTAAGCCTGCCAGATATCTCGAGGCCAACACACCAACTGGTCTCACTGGCCTCCATACTCATCCCTCGCCCCGCTCCGCTCTACTCTACCTCTACGCCTCTACCCTCGACAAATTAAAAGAATTCCCCTCTACTTCTCTGTATCGCCAATCCACCGAGGCCCTTACAAACCACCGTCTAAAAATTGTGCAATCTGTTGTGCCAGCTGGATACGATGAATGGGCAGCAAAGGCGAAAGAAACTCTTGCTGCGCATCCAGAAGTTTTCACTACCCCGGAGGGTGGCATACACTTTGATCAGGGGAAAAATAAGAAAGTGAGCGCCGGAGGTAAGGTCTTCGTACAGTCGGAAATTGCGAAGGAGGTTGATTGGAGTAAGGAGGAGTGGGACGGAGAGGAAGGAAGTGCAGAGTTGGAGGGCGTGAGGACGACACAGGAAAGAAAGGGTCAAAGTGTTTTGGCTAAGGAGAGACCTGGTGAGGATGAAAAACAGGTCGTCTGGGAGAACGAACCTGCTTTGAATGTCGATCAGTGAGTTTGATTTATCTGCTTAAGATGAGATGTGGATGTACTGATATGCGATGATAGAATCGAGGAAATCGAGAACAAAATTGGCGCTGGATTGATCGAGGAGGTCATTCAGGTCGCTGAGGGCGAATTGACCCTCACTAATGTCTTATTGAAGGCCAAAGTGTAAGTGAAATCTCAGCTTCTTTCGATTCTTCGTGACTAATGGAAAATTGTAGATGGGAGGATCTTGAGGAGAAGCCCGTCGAGGGGCAGTGGACATATTTCATGCGCGACACTGGTACCCCAACTACCCAACAACCACCTCAAAAGTAATGCTCTACCTAAAGATTCGAAACTAAAGAATGTATAGTAGAGTCTGTACATAGAATAAATACATGCAATGAATATCCTCCAATAGAACTTCACCCTTTTGTAATGACATCACTATAATCACATCTGCAAGTGCAGGCACGCTTTCAGCCATTGATACCTTAGCTTCTCAAATTTATATGGACATAGCATGCAACAAAATATTCTCAAATTTCCGAGCAGTCACTTATCTCATCTGTGTCCCATCAAACACTCGACGATGAACTGGTTCCACCACTCCGTTTCTTCACTTGTATCCCCGGCTTCACACCAACAATGGTTCCTAGAGCTCTCACCCACCCTAACTCCTCATTAGGCTTTGCTGCTCCCCCGATTATGCCAGCACCGCTTGTTCCGTGTCTATGTATGTCGCTCATACCCGTTTGTCTTCTATGAACTTTTGGTGGCAGTTCCTCTACTATAACGTCCGTATCAGATTCTCGTCTTCCAGATGCCGGTGGCGGCGGAGGGTGCCTAGGGTATGAAGGGGGTGGAGGAGGCCCAAGTCGTATCGGTGCCGACTTCTGTTTCTTGCGGGACTTCGAGTGACGTGCTCCTGGCATCCAGGCCAAAGTTTCAGACTGCGTAGATTTCTTCATTCTCGGAGTAGGTCCACTCATCAGACCACCGGGCTGGGTTGCTGCAAATCCAGGTGGTGGAGGAGGTGGAAAGTTACCGGGATGTCCTGGTCTAGGAGGCATAGGCTCGGGTGCTTGTCTTCGCGGTCCAGGCATTGGCCACATGTACATAGTTATCAACCAGCCAGGCTCAATCACCGATTCCCATACTTGAGGGAGGATAATCTCGCCTGTGGGGCCAACGAGATCGTAGTGACCATCATTGACGCGAGGACCAATGATATCGACATGACGGAAGGCTTGTTTTACTAAATCTTCCATTCCCTAAGATGTTAGTAGTCAGCGAGGATTTATGAAAGTGTCAAGAAACAATGAGGATTAGTTTAAAAATAAAGCAATCAGCATACAGCCCATGTAGACACTAAATGGAACGGAAACGTGAATTTCCTTCCGACAGCGTCCTTGAACTTTATCGCTGGTTTTACTCCCTTGCCATCGGATGCCACAGGAGAGTAAGCCCGATCTTTTCCCTTGGCAGCTCTATTTTCTGCAGCCTTTTTCTTGTACTCATCTTCGGCGCTTTTCCTCGCATGTTCCTCCTCTGCTCGCCTCTTTGCATGTTCCTCTTCTGCTCGTTTTCGTGCGTGCTCCTCTTCCATCTCCGCCATTCTCTTATGACGTTCTTTTTGCTTCAGCTTCTCAAGGTGTTCGTGTTTCACTCTCTCTAGTTTCGTTCTACTGCGTTCTTCATCTGATAGCTCTTCCGGTGATGGTGGCAATGGTATTTCGGTAGGATTAGTGTTGGGAGTTGATCGCCTTGTATAATCATAATAAGTTCCACGATGGGCCGGTCGTGTTGTAGATCGCTTTCGTTGTCTTCCTCGATCTTCTAGAACATCATCATCCTTTACCATATCATCTGTCGCATGTTTTTTTTCCTGCTCTTCAACAAGCTCTTCAGTCGATCTTTCGATTGCATGTTTTCTCCTCTCAGACGTTACAGAATGCTCGGATCGGCGCCGGCGATGTAAAATCATCTCTCGCTTATCAATGCGCTCGTATCTATCTCCACTGCCTGGATGTTCTCTGCTCCTCTTTTTGGTCAGTTCCCAGTCGTCATTTTCTCTCATACGTCTTTCCAAAGAACAACGTTCACGATCCGTTGCATAATCCGAGTCTGCATGACCTGGAGATGGAGATCGTTCCGGGCGTATCCCCTCAGAACTGTCTCGCTCTCGCCAGTCATCTGAATCTGAATCCAATGGGGGTAGTGGTATCTCTGCAGGGTCTGGTATAGATGGATGTGCTGGAGAATGGGCTGTATGCGAATGGTCTGGGCTATCGAGGTCACCAATTGAGATTTTCTTCATGGATTTGCTGTTTTTGCCTTCTTTGGGTTTCTTTGAAGGAGTTGGCCAAGAGCCCCAGCTTGGTTCAGAGATTGTTGGTTCAGAGATAGTTTGGTCAGGAACAATCAGGTCAGAATCGGGCGATGGAGGACTAGTTGGGGATGTTCTTGGCGGGGCTGGTCCGGCGATTGGAGAGTAATCGGAAGCAAGAGACTCCGGAGGATCATTTCCAACAGGCATGGGTTTTGCCGGTGTAAATTTTGGTGAAGTTGGAATAGGATTGAATCTAGATGGCGGAGAAGGTGAAGATACAATGTGATCCGAATGTGTAGGAGATGACAGGACGTTCTCCGGATCTGATTTTCGATCCAGAGGTTTCCGTCTCCAGAATCGCCAACTCCACACTCTTGGTACCTTTTTCTTTTTCCTGCGAACTAATAAATCGCCATCTATGGATAGACCTGGAGGTAGCCGAGTACTGCCTGTAGAGGATGAACCATCATTGCTATCGCTGTCGCTATCTGTATAGCCAACATTAGTGGAAGAACCAGCTCTGCGTCGATTCCAAATACCTGGGATACGCGATGCAAGACGTTCTTTAATACCCGCTTTGTATGAAATCTCACTGCGAGAAATTGATGAGGCAATCATATCCGCAGTTTCTGCCGTCACTGCAGCAGACCCGTACTGTTGAGCGAATTGCTCCAAGGTCATTCGCCGAATACTATCCGCATATATTAAAACCGTTGTAAGCATACATACTGGAATAGCAATGACCCAAAAGATGAAAAATTGATCTCCGCCTGGCTGAAAATTCCCACCCATCGAAAATATTGCCGCGATTATGGAGAACGGGAGTAATACACCGCCAAGGTAGGTCACTCTATTGATGCTTTGGCGGGTTTCCAGATCTAAGGTCTCTCCACCACGAATATGCACTCCTGACTTAGAAGAGGTAGGGGAAGAAGTATCGTCATCATCCTCATTGTCGCTTCCACTCTCAGTTTTGGCCTTCGTCTCAAGACCTTCCTCCACAACTTGTCCCCACACAAACAATTCCGCATAACGCTTTGCTTGCTCCAAAAGTCTTTTGAATCCTTCCATCCTGGTGTCGTAACGAGGCCTCCAGAAAGCCCCAGTACGATCCAAAGTCCAAATGTTAGACTCTATTAGATCGCAAATTTGATGAATTTCGTGATAAGGAATCAATCTAGATGCACATGCATGTTCAATTACCTCGCCCAGGGCAAATTTCCATTGTCTGAGTACGATATCCGCAAGTATCTCTGTGAGGTCATCCCAAACCAGGATGCGACCAGGCGATTCTAAAGATTTGAAAATCTCGTCTGCTAGAGTCAGAGCTGGGTCATGTTTTCGGGATGGTCTCCAATTTTGCGTTCCTTCTGGGAGACTGTTGAGGGCATTTGCAAGAATACTATGGCAACTCGCAGTCTGAAACTGTGCGCCTCTTCTCGCCCACGATTGATTTTCGAGAAGCAACAACACTTCAAATAATTACCATTAGTATATGATCTAATTAGAAAGAAAGTTTGATCTTACAAGTTTCACTCCCATCCTTTTCAGGAAAGCACGCTAAAGTCACGTGACACAATTTTACACTTATTCCATTCCAACTTTCATCGGAGATGCCTATCGTTTGACACGGTAGCATGAAATCACCAACAACTTCTTCATTGGCTTCGGGCAGCGGAGTAATGTTTGCCACAATCTCGGGATGGTCCAGAGCAAAAGTTCGAACTTGCTTCTCATTCCCTGGTCTCGTCAAAAATTCCAGCTTATTCAATTGCCCGCTCTTTCTCATCGCATGCGAATCAAAAATATCCACATCTATGTTGAAGTGTAACCCTAAGACCTGCACATATTCAATTGGTAACCCTTCCAAAATATATAATTTCCTCCCCTTATGACGTGGTATGGCGCGCTTCAAGTGATTTGCGAGTTCATCTGGAGTCGTGAAGAACTTTCTCGTGAGGCTACCATTCTGATCTTCTGTAAAGCATGATGTGTGTGGTAACTCGACGTTGAAGCGTGGGGGGTTAGGAAGAAACTCGAGATCTGGAGGGTTGTCGCTTTCAATCTCGACAGCAATGCGAGCCATTTGAATGTGGCATTAATTTATTTATTGACAATGCTCATTATATGGGCTTCTTCAGTTCTTATTGATTCTTACGGTTGAAGGTTGTGCCTGGTAAGAGCAATTGCGCCCCCAAACCGCCCTGATAACATGGACAGGGGGTTGTGCATTAGCGATGTGCAGCCACCGATATATATCTGCTTCTACGGAGAAGAGAGAAAGTTTATAATATTTAATCTGGATCAAAACATATGAGTGCGAACTAATGGCTTTTTGAATAGAAATTTGAGTAAAATTACGTTATTCGATAAAGTGAGGAGGAGGGAGAATTCTGTATATATCACGACTCCTCAATATTCAATTGGGGTCATGAGGGTCAGATTCTGAGATGAGTATGAACACAGTCCGTGATATCACCAAATAGAGAATCATCTGTGGAAGAGGGCCATAAAGATGACTGGTTGATTACTTGGTACAGTTGGTGACTCCTTATCGTCTTGCTCTACTTCTAGAATTGGATTCAATATCGTTACTCCATGTTGACATACATGGAGATCTCGATTCTTCTATATGATAGATTCATCTGTCGTTCATCGATGCATTGCCAGAAGCCAAAAATAAATCTCAGAAATCAGTCTTGATATCCAATGTATTCTCGTTACGTGAAGTCGTCTCACAGGCCCTAAACGGGCAAAGAGGTATCTGGGTTGCGCTTTGGAGATGCTCCACTATATCAATAAACGCCATCATAGCCCGTATGCGGAGATGTTTTGGATTTCAAGAGCGTGCCTGGCTGCTGTCGATGCTCAATTTCATATACTAACACTTTGAGAATTTTAGAAGCCTTTTCATCATTATTAAAGAGTCTTAATTGCCCTCTTCAGCCATGGAGCCTTCATCTCTGGTCAAAATTTTCTACATGAATCCCCGTACATCTTTCAATCCCTATCACTTTTTCTAATATTGGTACGCTAAAAGCATATCATATTCTTTCAAAGCCTGTAAAAGATATCATTTTATCATGAAAATCCCCTTCATAGTAAATCTGTTAGCCTTATACCGTCAACGTGATTAAGCCACGTAGCAGTTACTTCAGTCATATAAAGATGTCATAAATCATCTAGACTGGATAAGGATACTGGTATGGTCATATTCAAATATCAGAAATGTGCGCGCCATCTAAAATAGTTAAGAAGACTTTGCAGAAGATCATTTTTTTACTAGATGAATTGCTGTGCTAGAAAAGTTTAAAAGACAAAGATGATCGACCAAGGTCTTCAATATCATTGGGGGGGAGTCATTATTTATTACTAATGTGAAAACATGAATGATTCAATGTAGTTCTTAAAATTAGCCCCTATTTAGTTGTCGAGATTGCAATCAAAATGAAATCAAACCCTCTGGAATTCACATCATTTATCAAAATTTGGGAAACGAGGAGCACGTTCTCTATTGAACCACTATGAGTTTTTCTTAATTGTAAGTATACAAAGATATTGAAAATCACAACACAAACGAATCAATACTAGTCCCACTGAGCACACTCCTGTCAAATTGGTTCTGACATTGACTAGTGTTTACCGGGCCCAGAATAAGCGAGACTAAGGAGAAGCTTAAGTGCAGACGAGATGTAGTTCAAAATAGAATCTATCTACAAAAATGGTTATGACGCCTTGATAATCGTCAAGCATTGGGTTATATTACAAAATTGGTCAGAATTCATACACAAGTGACGAATTTGCATCTGAATGAAGTATAATGCCTCAGAGATTAACTGGCTGGTGTGTCGAATTGCGAGAGTTCTTGGTATATCTTGGCTTCTCAGTATCGAAAGTAAGGACAGAGATTTTAGAATTCGAGACTTATCCTACACTAGATCAAACCGTTTGAAGCTGCCTTACCACTTTCAGATTTACCAAACCCGATTCTGACAACGATTCGCTCATCATGAGCACCTCATATCTATTGTGGGTTATGTAAGAGGAAATCTGGCATGTTCGAATATGAACTAAGAGCTCGAAAGACTTTTTGGGGATGGAGAAGATTTTCATAGATAGTACGGTAGATTACTCAGACTAGTCAGTCTGAATGGAAATCTGGATTCTACTTAAGGAATCCTTCACCCAAATTCTACGTCAAAAAACAACCACACACATCCTACACCACAACCCATACAAGTGCCTTATACTGTTCAGATTTCTCAATCAATTATCTCTTCAAGTATATCTCATACACCATCATATCCAATCGTCGTACATACCACATTATCACCACCAGTCAGAGACAAGTTCTTTTATCAATTCAACATAGTTGTGACATTTACAATCATCATAACCAATTCAAAGATCTCTCTGAATATCACGACATTCACATTACACCCACACTATTACTATCGCTATTACCAATCATTTCACAATCACATAAGATTGCGTTACATCCAGTCTTTCAAATATCTCCCTACATTTAACGAGATTCTTCAATTGTTTCGAATCTACTCCTTTACCGCCACAAATTCGAATGAATTTATCTGAACCACATATCAAGTCATCATAAACCTCGACATCGTTTCGATATAAAACTCTTCAATAGAAAGCAAAAATTCACCTGCTTCACACCCCACATCTTATTTCGCAATGTCCGCTTCGCTTCCATTGCTTCGACAATCGAGCCGATTGACCTCCCCTCGTGGGGTTTTTCGCTTCCTCGATCTTCCTGGAGAAATCCGCAACAAAATTTACGAGATGGCAACTTGTGACATCGAAGAGCCCGAGCCACTTGATAGCATGGACACAATATCTCTCCCTGTGTTTAAGCAGAATTTTAACCTTAATCTATTGCTAACTTGTCGTCAAATCCACGACGAAGCAAAATACGTCATGATGACCAAGAATCTTTACGTCGAAGTCCAACTATCGGGGGTAGGAAGAAGATTGAATAACGACTTCACGTCTATGCTTTGTTTATACAGAATCCCAGTTATCCGTATCAAGACAGACATAGATCCCGAAGACCGTTCTTTCGATGGCTGTGTCATAAGATATCGCGTATCTTGTGATGAACCAAGAAGTGTATGGGAACGAGAATCGATTGACTCTTTGGTCATACTGCATCGTCACATGAATCAATTTCTCGAAGCTATCAACCAGACTCAATGGTTTGTCTCAACATGCACACAGATACGTTCGTATCATGATATCACACTTCAAAACCCTTTTGTCTCCAGATCCGCACATGCTGGTGACAGTCGCAGTCAATTATCCATTCAGGCCTTACAGAACAATGAAGAAGCGCTTCTATCTCCATTCTCCACTATCAAAGAAGGCCCAATGTATATATCCAGGGACTGGTCGGGTTCTCACGTACAACACAACAATACGAGACCTCCCATAGTGACCTCTATCTCGATGGAAAGCGTGTTGAAAGACTTGGATGAATTGATAAGGAAGGGACGAGACCATCACCTTCAAGGTATATACGTGTATGCCGAAGGATTCTACAAGCTTGTCGATTACAAAATCACAATTCTGATGAACTCCCTACGCAACATCATAGTCACGAGACTTTATGAAAGGGAAGGACTAGAACCTGAGGATCAAGTAATCGAAGGAGAAATGTTTGAGAATCAACTAGCCGAGATATACTCCACAGTCTGCTACCATCGTGCACAGAATGCTCTTGCGGAAATGCGTCATCTTATGGATAATGGTTTGGGTCAACACTCACTCGAAGCGTGTGATATTGTTCACCAGATGGCATCACAAGCTCGAGCCCCGTTAGCATTTCCTCAGTTCATTCCAAATCTAGAGCGAACTGCAGATCACATATTCATGGAAGCCGTTTCATTCAGGCTTTGGGCAGAAGTACTCAGCGGAGACAGATACGGCATTAACCAGGCTTTGGTGAAGGTAGAATTGGGTCTCGAAATGGCTCCCAATCACCCTGGATTGAGAGCTGAGAAATATCGTATCGTCCGCCAAAGATTAGAACCACTCCTTAATCTTTCTGTGGCTTGGAACGTGGCTCATCCATAGTTCACCCATAGGTACCAGTTCTATCTTGAGTAGTATTCTTTGATAGAATACTTATTAGAATGATAGGATGGATGAGGGATTCTTTTGTCTCGGTTATAGCATTTGAATGATTTAGCACTGCAGATGGATTGATATACTTTTTTCATTTATAGAACTTATGTTATTTTGTACTTAATCCGCTACGATAGATGGCCCTAAATGAGCGAGGGCCATCTAAACTGATTATATTGCGTTGCAGATGGATGGATATACTTTTTTTTAGTTATAGCATTTGAATTATTTTGTACTTATTCAACTACAGTAGATGGCCCTTAACGAGCGAAGGGCCTCTCAGCTGATTGTTGTTTGTTTTGTTCTCGGAGTACCATAGATTGATATAATAAAAGCACTTTCGCAAACTTTGTGTAATGTCCACTAACTGAACAAGTGACCTTCTTCAAGGATTCAACCACATTTAACGTATATTCCATTCCACCCCGCTCTATTTCAGAATTTTTATTTCATCTGTATCAATACAGAATGGTACAATCATAATGACTGAACTTTACAAGCACAATATCTTCGATACAACCTGAGATTATAGTTCCATAAATTACAATATACCAACTACTTATCTCTCGCCCAGACGATAATGATGTCTCATCGACCTGAGTTTGTGTTATGACACGGAGAACAAAGTATTCCATCCTTCAACATCTCTAAAATGCAAGATATTGCACCACACATACATTGATGTTGATGACAATATGTATTGACCCGAAGATATATTGGAAAGATTCATTTACGAATATGACTCAAGGACCGTCAGTAAATAAACCCTCAGCCGATCACCCCGCCCCATCTCTTTCACCCAATGGCTATGTGATGAGATGATTGGAAACTGGGAACGAGGCTGGAACTTCCACAACACTATACGAGAAAAACGGTATGGAGGGTATCATGAAGGTAGTGATGACTTAGTCTTCCCTCTCGAAGGGAAATTACCTCATGAGCTCACTACTTTCGAAAGGGAGGCACATGAACAAGAATTCTCGCCACCTAAGAGCCCATGAAAATTATCCTATCTAACAGTTCGAAGAAGTTTGTGGCGATGCGTTCACTACGTTTCATATGCTCAAACTAGCAGCGGCTTTGGGTCGAGATTGCCATAGAGATGGCGTCGAGCCACCTCATCTGACGA